ACCTAACTCAGCTAGCTAGAACAAGCCTGTCCTGCAACACATTTTTATTGTCCATTTCAGGATGCCTGGTAGAAACCAGCCAAACATGTTGGGGAGTTGGAATTTTCAGTAGCTGAACTGAAAAACCATGCACTACTGCTAATAGGACTTCCTCTGAATGCTACCACATGTTCCTTTCTAAGTGTGGAAGACCAGTCAATCATAAGCACTGTCATCTTGAAATTATCCCCTTCTCTACAGCTCAAATTTCAGATTAAACAGACCACCCTTTCAGAACCTGAACAACTCGCCTGTTTTGCTTTTTGCTGAACTGACTTCAACAGAGGTTTGAACCCCAGTAGAAAAATGCTGAAGAACTGTTCCCACTTGGACAGCTGCAGAAACCTTACAACACCTTTTAGCTTAGTCAGAGCCACCATAATTGCACACCTGAAGGAGACAGATCTGAGGAAACCCAGGCCAGGACACACCCAGGAACATGTTTTACAAGGGACCACTCTGGTCTTGAGCAAAGGGAAACAACCTTGAAGGTTAGAGCACATATGGAAGAGTAAAGAATGACAATTAGGTAAATGTCATTTCCATCAGCAAAATAACCTCAAACTACTCCACCTTACCATTTGGCTTTTCTGTATACTATTATCCAGGGAATGTTTTTAGTGACCACTGACTGCTCAAGTCTGTACAAGATTGCATGTACAGCAGCCACCATTCACAGTTCACATATGCAGCAACATTCAGATCTTACCATACAAAAAGAATTTGAAAACTTTTCTAAGTAACCAGGTCCATCTAAACAACCCCCTTGCCTCTGATTTCAATTGCTATGAAGCATGGTAATGTGAGCCTGTGTTGTTCTTGAAGGCTCTCTCTAGTGGGCCTTCCTGAGGTTAGAAAAAGGAAAAGCTCTCAAAGCTACAGCCTGGAAGCTTTTATAGAGAAGAGGGTAAAGAAGAAAAGAGTCAGAATCCACAAATGGACTAGAGTAGCTCTGTAGTCAATAACCAAGCTACTGATTTCTATCTAATTCAGGAACTGAGCATGCAACTTGCAAAACACACTTTACATTGTTCACATTCCAATAAAAACCCCACTATTTTTTACTTTTCAAACCAAACGTAAGAAATAAGTTGTTCTCCAGATCACTGTTAGTGCTCTTCATACATCACAATTTTCTTTCTCATTTCCTTTACCAAGGAGCAACTCTTTTGGAGAAAGTACTGCTCACCATGTCTAACTAATCTAAAATAGGCTAACATTTGAAGTAGGAAGTCCAACTTATCTTCTGGCTTAGGTTCACCTCACAGTTGCACATTACAAAAAGCAATCAGCCTGGATTCAAAGCATTGGAAATAATACCAGAGACAAAACAGCCACTAAGCCATGCCCAGATGTAGCATGAAATGACAGCAGTTTAACCAAAGCTGAACTTCCTAGCAAAGAAGTTTCCAGTCAAAAGCAGCAGTACATGCACTGCAAATTTAGATCCCCCTTAACTATATTTTTTACAAATTTTAATATTTGTCTTGTGACATTCTTAGCAGGCTAAGAACAGGTTAGATTTAGATATGTGTGTCTGAAAGTGAGAATAATTTTCCTCTGCGATGTGATTGCAAAATACTTTTCCATGTGATCATTTGATTTTAATTCTACAAGGATGGTCATTGTTCCCAAGTGAGGATTAATACTGCACTTATAATATTTGTTCAAGCTACCAAGCCATGCATTGTCATCAGTTTTAGCCTGTGTTTACCAGAGGCTCAAATTATTCAAAGAAAAAAGTGTTAGCTACATTAGATAAGAGTATACCCAATGCAGCGCAGATTGGTGAATTGACAATTGTGACACTAAGAAGAACAGTTACAAAAACAAAATGCAATGCATATGGTTTCAGTTGGAGAAACCTTGTTTACATGCAAGAAATAGTGTATTCAATTAACCAGCTTAACATAATTAAACAATGATGGTAAAAAATGAGTATTAAAACAGTTACTCACTAAGCTTGTGAGCCTCAGCTTCCACATTGGCAACACTAACTTCTTTCTGTATTTCACTTTTGTCGAGCATATTTGGAACCCCTGCTATCTAACAGATCAGAAAAAAAGATTTAATTATGCTTTTAAGTTTGATGGGAGATAAGGATTAAAACCCCTTGATTGGGATTTGATTTGATTATACTGTCCCCTGTGCATCAAATACAATGTCACAGTAAACACAGCATTAATCTTTCCCTTTGACTTTCACCTTACTCAAAATTAAGGATTTTCTCATTAAAATACAATTGACTTTTTCATTTGCTGTTAATGATTCAATATTACATTTTATTGCTCTCATAACCCATATTCAAAGCAAACATAGTATTAGGGGCTGCATGCTATATCTCAAATTTTCTTCTTATATCTTAGTTACTACTTATAAGGGCATCATGCTCTATAGAGCAAATGCAGCTACCTTGGTGTCCATTAGTACATCAGTTATTCTAAAACCTTTATAAAACTCCTTCATAAGTGATACTACTGAAGGCAGAGTAAAGGCAATTTCTCTCTGCATTAAAATCAGAAAAAAAATGGAAACTGATGTGTAGTGCCCATTCCATTGAATTACCTGCATTTTCTGTTCTTTAGAATCGCACAATTGCAATAGGTACCATGAGGAATTTTGCGGCAGAACTTCAAGTAGGCTCAGAGCAGGATGGTTCAAACCTGCTATTAGTGCCACTTCATCTTGCCGGTCAATAGCCTCATTCACTTGGACTAAAGCTATGTGAACTGAAATGAAAACAATGCTTATAAACAGCAAATACACTTTTGCAAAAAGAAGTCCATTGCTGCCATTGTCTCACTTCTTGTAAAAGCTAACTAGAGTGGCAATCTTTATCCAGCAGAGGATTATCTATTTCAAGACCAGTCCTACAAAGGGAGTCTCCATCTCTGTGTGAGCCCATGTGGGAGCAACAGCTATGGAAGCTTATGAATTTCAGCTATATATAGAAGAGGGGGTCAAAATTTACAGTATTCTGCACAAAAAAGAAACTCAAACATAATGAAACAGAGCAGGCAATAAAATGATTTGATTCTGAACTGAAGAATCCTTACAGCAAAAACCACACAGACATTAGCCCCCTGAAAGATTAGTAAAGAAGGAGCAGAAAGAAAAAACTGTTGTAGACAGATATTAGCTACTTCTGCATGTTTTATAAGTTTCCACAGAAATATTTTGTTTATTCCTGTGGATTCAAGTCATGTTCAGCTGGAAACTGGGAGATCACATTACGTGTACACTTCCATAGGATCCAGAGGTGGCTTACTGTTTATCTTATTGATATTGCCTTGAATCTCAGCTTGTGTCAGCAGCTCCTCATAGACGTCTCTCTCTTCTTCAGAGATCGTGTCATTCTACAAAAACAAAATTGTTGCTAGTACACACAAAAACTTTGCAGAGAGAAAAGCTACTAGTGGGAGTCATTAAAACTGCATCAGTTGAACTATTTTCTGGATGTATTTGTAAAGAAATTTGTTGACCACATGAACTAAAAAAATTAGCACTTCATGGTAACTGACTGAGCAATATTTAAAGCATTTTCTGCTTCATGTAAATCTAGTGTAACATTTTTCAGCTACAGAAAGCATTAGCGCTCATAAAAAACAAAGCAAATAATGTCACGTTAAAGATCTGTGTAAGAGGTTATACTTTATGCTCAAAAAAGGTGTCATTTGTTTTGCATCTTTTTAATTTCTAAAGCAGCTAATAGAGGAAAACCAGTCTCTTTTTTTTAGTCTGCCAGTATTTTATCCTTTGGTCAAACTTAAGCTACATCATACTCATTAGTAATCATACTCTTAAAATTGACTGTCAGCTTGTTGCATTAGTATTATTTATCTTAATTAGCTTGAAAGTGGGGTTTTTTTCCCCGTAATTGCACTAATTTTAACATTAATTTAAGTTAATCTTTAAAATGGTTACACTACAGCATGAGAAGCAACATGAATGAACATGTATACTAGGAGTGCTAATAAAATACCACTACCTTAAGTCTTGCATTTGATTCTTTTCTCCTTTTAGCTTCAAAGAGTTCATTCTGATAGTCCTGTGCAAGTTTCTCATCCACGTTTAACAACATTGCATTTGGGTTCCTCAGAGTTGCAATGGTTTGCTCAGCTATTCCCTTCTCAATAGCTTCGTTAATCGCTATTACTGCTGCATGCACTAAAACCAAAAGCACAATCCTAAATTTCAGGAAGTAAAACACATTCAAAACTATCACTGTTTCTTCTGATTTATTTGAAATTAGTGTTTAATAGATGTTCAACAATTTACACGTTCCCCTTCAAACATCCCACTGCTAATGTTTCCCTAGACTGCAGCAACAAAAGCACTCAGTGTTTGCTCAAAGTTGGCACATTGCTGTCTGACTATATTCGCCCTTCTACCAAATAGAGTTTACTATTTTCCTGACAGAAAATAGAACATGAGTTACATTTTATTGAGTCCTATGTCATTTAGAAGACAATTATATGCAGGAATTTAAAACATTTTCAGTAGTTTCTCTTAAAGCTGCTTTTGTGTCCATAAAGATAGGAGACATGAAAGTATTGTCTGAATTAACTATATCTGAACAATAGATACTGCACAAGAATAAGGAAATTCAAACTCCAGGAAACATAGTACATAGTTAAAGACTCCCCAGGCAAGGTGCAGCCCTGCACACCACATCTAAGTCTGCCTGGGATGAACTGGCTCCTCTCCTAACTGAGGATCCCCATGAGCAGCCAGGGAAACAGAGAAACAGTGATGTACCGGTACCCTACTTCTGTCACCTACAGGTTGCCCAAAGAAGTCGTGAATTCTCCCTCCCTGGAAGTGTTCAAGGACAGGTTGAGCAAGGCCAGTTTTGAGCAACCTGGTCTAGTGGAAGGTGTCCCAACTCATGGCAGTGGGGTTAGAACTAGATGACCTTTAAGGTCCCTTCCAACCCAAACCATTCTATGTTTCTACGATTCTAAAAGGCGAAAAAGGGGCAGAGGATTCACCATAGTCATTGACCAGCTTAAGTCTTAAACCTTTCCTTTGAGAAACAAGAAAACTTCAGCTACTAAACAAATACTTGAATCCCAAATTTATTTGGGAGTCAGAAATGCTCTTGTTTTTCCACATAGCAAATTTACATAAATGTACAAAATTAAAGCCACTTGCAGCTGAATGAGGTGCAGAGTAATAGCTAACACACACCTCCCAGGTATTCCCTGCACACATTTGGCTCTAAAATCAGTCTAGATTAAGGATTTTAACTAGAGCTACAGTTTATCTGCACCTTTGTGTTAAAAAGAGATCCCAGTGATTGTCTGGTGGCACATTAATCTCGAAGATTTTACAGACATTAAAGGTTAGGAGAGATGTGGACAGGTATCGGTGGATGTTGTGAACACAGCTACCAAGAGAAAGTGAGAAGCCTGACTGGGCTTGAAAGTGTAGCCTGGAGACTCCGAATAACAGTGAGGGTTACCTGCAGTATAAGCTCACTTTGAAAGTACTTGAGCTTAGTATTTGCACATGGATTTCTACTATTGCTGACAACACAGCAGTTGTCATCAGTGGTTGTTTCACTTCATGTCTCCATTTGCTTACTTCATTTCAGAAGCAGTGTGGTAGACCCTTTCCTCTGGCAGGATCTCCACATCCAACCTCACTAGTGCATGAGGGTTCCTGTAGCAGATGTTTCCTGTTCTGGGGCAGGGCATGTTATCTACAGCACACTCCTTGCCCAGAGAGACAGAGTTAGCACCAGGAAACTCTGCTTTTCTATGGACAACTGAAAACACTTTAGAAGTTGAAGGAAACCCTATGCACACTATAATAAGCTTGCAGAGAAGGAAGTTGCAGCCCTTTCTTATTCGGGGAAGGAAGGAAAAGTTTGGTAGTTACTAAATCTCTGAAAATTTCCTAAAAAAAGGAGACAAACTACCCCCACGACCAAAGGCAGTATTTGAAGAGCTAGCTTTGCAGAAGTATGCACATATTAAGCTATAGCAGGCTCCAAAATATAGAACACAGGCAGTGAGGAAGTATGTTTTAAGTTAAGGTCTGGAAATTTCAGCACACTAAGATAATGGATAAGCTTGTTTCAATTATGACACTTTGCAAGGTTTATCAAGGTTGCAATGGAACTTAATTCTAACACAGCCTTTACTTCCCCCACTGCCCCTTGTACAGTCTATGGTATGTAACCAGTTTGTATTAATGACCCACTGTGCCATTGAACATACTCAAGCCAGCCTTTCTGTTCTTCAGGTTGCCCTTCTGAAAAAGGGTAGGATTTTGAACAAAGTCTCCAGAGCTCAAGTGTGGATTAAGTGGACACACTTCATTTTATGTCATTTAAGTTCATGTTGTGGTTTTTTTTTTGTTGTTGTTTTTTTTGTTGGTTTTTTTTTTTTTTTTTTTTTTTTTTGTAATAAAGTACTTCATTCCACAAAAAAATGAAATGGGGAAAAAAAATAGGCTCCAGCAGCAAAAAACCATTTAATTTGGATTTTGATTGGAAGCTGTTCAGGATAGACTCAAAAGGACCATAACTGTGAATCAATCCCCCCAAAAGGAAAAAGCTTATTTTGGATGCACCAGCAGGATGTGCCCTGCATCAGGGTTCTGCCATGCTGTGGGCCACACACCAGTGGTCTGACAAATCGAAAGCTGCCCAGGGAGGCAAGTGGTTCCTCCACATATGTACCACCATACACAAGAGAGTTGTCTGTCTGTAGCCTTGTCCTCAGCAACCTCATCAAGTGTTTCAGAAAAGCTACAAGAGCCCAACACAGAAAGGAGGCACAGAGAAGACACCTGGTTCCCATGGTCATCTCCATTGTACCCACTAGGGTGCAGAAGCACATGCAGAGCTCAATTAATCATTCTAGAGAAGCACTAGCTATCAAAACATTCAACCCATGCAAAAGATTGTAAGAAATCTTTGTTTCTAGTATCACTTCATATGATTCAATGGAGATGCTCAAAAATGCAGACTGAAAAATTGTAAGATATCTGTAACAATGATGCAGTGTGATAGTAAGTGAAAACTTGCTTGCTTTCTTGTTATTTATTAAGAAGTGGCAAACCAGGTGAGTTAAAACACGAAGTATTTTGTTAGTGTTCTGTCGAAGTATCGAGTAGAAAACAGTAAGAGCCACACTTACATGCAGCTTCATCCACTGATAATTCACTGGCCAGAATCCCACCAATTTTACTAAAGGATGGCATCTGTATACCATACTTCTCTAGCTCCTTTCTCATGTTGCTGATTTCTTCCTCTGTTTACATAAAAAAAAGAAATATTATTAGAATAGAAGCATAAGAATTTCATTATGAATCACCATACCTACAAATACAGGTGCAATGTTTTTGAAATCAGGGATTCTTAGCAGTTTTTCCTCCCCATTTTAAAGGAATCTAAGATACGACAAGTATTCCATGCAAATTCACTCCCTTCTGTCTTTCAGAGACTGACATTCATTAAAAATAGCAACCTCCCATCTATTTAATTAATATGTGTTCAGAACAACCTTGTGGGAGGAGAAAGACCATAATAGAAAATATGCACAATGTTAGCAGATTTACTAGGTGAAGAAACCATCGACATATGATTAGATAAGCAGTTTATTACCTGTAAAGTCTACTTTTCCCAGTAGGTCCTGGATCTGCGGTGCTAATCCTAGTTTGAACAGATATAAACTGCAAAGAAGAAAATTAGAATTAAAAGTCCTGTATGTGGCTTAAGTGTTCACTTTCTGTACAAGACAAAAGTGTTTTTATGAGGCTTGTCCTTTAACCCAAGACTTTCACAGGCCAACACAAAGCAAATTAACCCTACAGTTTTCCTTATGCTGTATTTTTAAGTCTTACAGAAAGAAAAGTATTTTTTGACTTGATGTTTTAAAGAAGCATCTCTAAGAAAGAGGCACTATCAGCATATCTGAGATCACAGGGGATGTGTAAACAAGTAGAAAACCTTAGTGGAAGACAATTAAAGAAATTAAAAAGCTACCATTTAAAAAAAAAAAATCAAGATGTGAATGCACTTTAGAACAGCTTATAGCTTTGGATCTATGTACTGTTTTGACTTGCACTATTACATCCCTGAAATTAATAGCTGAAGATACACAAATCACTGACACCTTTCTTACTAAGTGTAGAGGATCAAGGACCATCTCAAATCTATCTGTGTCATTAGCTATTTAGCTTTTGGAAAATGAAGAAAGTTCAATTTAAAGTGCTATCCAGGAACTAATATTTTGTTTCATATAGCATGAAAAATATTGATACTTATTATTCCTAGAGCTCTGGGGTGCTATCTTAAACAGCTGAGTACATCCATATTTTCTCAATATCTTCCAAACATAAGGCACATATTTATCTACAAAAGAATGCTGTTTCTATAATTTATGCAATAAACAAACAAATTTTGCAGGAAGGAATCAAAAAGGTAGTTTTTAAAAACAAGACTTAAATAATTCATTCCTCCAAAAGGATTATTTTGCACCTCTGTTTTAAATGACTTCACCCTCACTTCACACATTGCAAATGTGCATTGTGGCTTAGGGTTTTTGTTTCTACAGAAGCACATTTCTTTTTTGGGTTTTGTTGCTGGGTTTGGTTGTGGGTTTTTTGCTATTAGCAAATTACAGGGTAGTATTTCAAAGCAAGTATTTGTAGCTATCACATTTATTTGAGAGCACCCAGAATCAGCTTTTCATCTTCCATGCTACCACAGCTACTTGTCTGCCCTGTCATGACCTGGAGGTATACAACAGCACATCTCATACAGGACTACACTCTTAACTGCTGCAGCCCCCCAAAACAAGGGCCATTGTGATTCTCCTTTCAAAGCAGTCTTAAATGCAACTTAACTATAGCAGGGAAAAAAGCCACATTACTATAGCAATGAACCAGATTCCTCTGTTACCCCGATCAGCTGGCCAGTCTTTCCTTGTGGGTTTTTAAAGATATTTTACTCTAAGTTTGAGACAGGGACACAGTCCTGGACAAATCACTGGGTGTCATACAAACAGTTATGGAGATCAGCAGCATCACGGGACTATGCTGGCTTTTTGGGGGTCACCACAATAAAAATACAGAGGAAGAAAAGGTGATACGAACATTAGAGACTCAAATTTTTGCTGTTTAGTGCTTCCAGGAGGATATTGAGCAGTGTGTGTTACTTCCTATGCTCCTTTGAATAAAGTTATTCACCACCAGGTGGTGCTGAAAATGTGCTTCAAGTCTTGTAGGGAACAAAAAGACTCTTCTACTCTGTATTAAGGTATAATTTCACTTGAAACAGCTTGCCTAATGCTTTTGTGGTATAACTTGAACCTCCGGGAACCCACATAAAAATCAAAATCAGGGGGTCTTGGGGTTAGGAAATCTGAATATGAGGCATCAGGAGCAAGGGAGAAAAAGGGGAAAGAGCAGTCCCCAGGTGAAGTTCTTTTTGCATTGCCCACACAGATCTGTAGTTCATATCAGGTTCATGGTTCATATTTTATGCTTAGTTCATGTATAACATGCCATAAAAAACAGATATGAAAATAGCGTGGTTTGGGGTTTTTTTTGGGTGTGTGGGGGGGTGTTTGTTTTGAAGGGGTTTTTTTGTGGGGGGGTGTTGTTTTTTGGTTTGGTTTGTTTGTTTTTTAAGACATGTGCTTGTTATTCCACTTCCTGGAAAAACAATGTTTTGAAGCTGTCCAGCTTCAGAAGTATAGTTTGTCCAGGTTGTAGTAGTGATCTGCTTACAGAGATCACATGAAAACAAAATTTTTCAGAGAAAAAAAAAATCTCACAAGCCTTGCTATTTATGAACAAGAATCACTGTTAGTATCTTAATTTAAATGAAGCAGTTCTTAACCTCATTTAGTCCTGGAACAAATCCAAATCAGCTTTCACGAGAAAAATGGTGCAAGAAATAAAATCTATGCCTTTGTATTTTTCAAGTGAGGCTTTTAAGTGTTGATGTTTCAACAGGAGAAAAGCAAAAAGGTAATTATATTGAACAGGACTCTAGCAATTGTTTCCTAAGACACTCCTTCCCACCAGAGCAGTGTATTCAACAGTACAAGTTGTTCCACATAGTGTAAGTGCAATGGTTTTAATGTCAGACTTGAACCAGGACATATCCTAAAAATATATTTAAACTATTTTGCTTAGAGTTATTGTCTAATCTTCAGGCCCTCTAGAAGCTCTAAGATTGGCAAAACCCCCAAAAAACAAAGACTTTTCCTGTGAAATGTTAACATTTCAGGTGTCAAATAGACTCTTTAGATAGAGGTTTTTTGCTCCTATTACCTACAGTTAAGGCTATTTCATGCTTCTTAAAGGGGTAAATTAAAATTAATCTCATCAATTTTAAGCACTTAAATTATGCACACTGACTGTGCATAAACAAATTAATGTAGAAAAAAATCTCAGCTAAAGATGGCATATGCTACAGTTGCAAAGGTGAAGAGCCTGCTTGCAATTTCTCTTTCTAGATGCTGTGGTGCTAGATCCTGAGAACAGGGACACAGACTTTTCCAGCTTTGGTGAACCCTGTGATTCCCTGGAGAGGATGCAGGGTAGAACAGGTGGGGTGCGTGGCATGGAGCTGGGGGGACAGACACCAGCAGTTCAGAAGTTACAAGAGCAGAAGGGGAACAGAACTGGACTCCCACATCTCTGTGTTCCTCGGATGCCAGCCCAAATGGGAACACTGCTGGCCTAGCAAGTCACCTGTCCTTAATTCTGTTGTTTCCCAGACTGCTTTCAATGTAGACTGTATGCCATTCAATACCAACACTGGAGTTTGATTTTAAAGACTTCAGTGAAGGGCTTAGGACATGCATTTTAGGAAAAGGCATGGAAATAAATGAAGCTCAACAACTGCTTCTTCAATTCTTACATCCTGCATAGGTGTAGGACCCTACACTTTAATTGGAAAGCATCGTAAGTGAAAGCACTGCAGACCTACTCCCGTTCAGTGTGGCTTGACACATTTGATATGAAGTTAATTTCTAAAATAGTGGTTTGTAAGAACAGAGTTACAGCATTGTGTTGATATGCAGCAAGGAAAAGTAATTTAAATGAGGCATACTTGGAAGTGAAAGCTGGGAAAACACAGATTAATTCCGATACTGGCATAAATCCTGGGGTATGTCAAGATGGAGAAAGGAAAACTTCTACCAAAGGTCAACCCATTCATTGCAAAATTCAGTTCAGGATGAAAAGAGTTATTGCCAAGACTCTTATAAACAGGAGACAGAGTTACTTTTTACATGGGCAGACAGTGATAGGACAAGGGGAGATGGTTTTAAACTGAGAAAGGGAAGATTTAGGTTAGATATTAGGATGAAATTTTTCACCCAGAAGGTGGTGAGTCACTGGAACAGGATACCCACAGAAGTTGTGGAGGCCCCATCCCTGGAAGCACTGAAGGCCAGGTTGGATGGGGCCTTGGGCAGCATCATCTAGTGGTTGGCAACCCTGTCCACAGCAGGGGGGTTGAAAGTATATGATCTTTAAGGTCTCTTCCAACCCAAGCCATTCTATGATTCTATGATCTTCAGAAGCTATCTGACTGTTGAGGTTTATTGTTCACGTAGCATTCAAATCCACAGTTGATAAAGTTCTACTCTGTACATGATGAAGCAAATATTGGAAAACATTATTGTGTTCTTCCACCTTGTGCAAAACATCCGAGAAGCCCACAACGTGGCCAGAGGGGCACACTGCCCACTGTGTCAGTCTGAGCTGGTTAACATCAGAGCCCCAGGCATCCACTTCAGGAAATACTTCAAGCTTACACAAGACACTTGCTGACAGAACAGACTGCACTACCAAGTTTTAGGCAAGAGCTGCCCCCAGACAGTCCTGGTGATACTGTCTAGTTAATACTATGCCAGGCATAACAACTTCAAGTGGCAACACTTGTCAAAGATGACAAAAAAATACCAGGGTTGTCAGCTCCAAACGTCTAGCACTTAAAAGAAATATAATGAACTTTATTGGTATGTCTTATTTTTTGGTAGTGAGTGCACATAGCAGAGTGCAAGAGCAGGCACATAATTTCAAGGATTATACCTTAAAAAAATTTCAGTTACATCATGTATTGAATAGTTCCTGACCAATAGCCCTGGAGCAGCTGATGTGCCTTTGAACACCATTAAGAAGGTACAAGAGTTTGGGGCAGGAGTTAATTGAGTTCTCTGCAAGCCTAGTTGCAAGAAAGTAATGAAAGAAAAAGGTCTCCATGTGCAGGAAATGAGTTAGGAGACCCACAGTAGGGAGGAGCTGTCTGCCAACACCACTGCCCCTCACACCAGGGACAGTACGAGGCAGATGTTTGTAACTTTTAGTACTCAACATCAAGAAAATCCTTAAGGCAGGACAAAAAAATATTTAAGTTCTACCTTCAGTAGTGTAGGCAAACATTCAAACTCAAGCTGCTCAGAACTTTAAAATCTTGGAAAATGTTAATTTTTTCATGAATGACCTCAGAATACAGTAATTTTTTACTCTTCTTCTGGGACATAAAGATGTCAGTTCTTCATCACTTTCACTCTAATCAGTATGTCTGCCCCATGGTTGTACTAATATTTTGCCTAGTTTTTGCTCATTTAATTGGTTTTCGTTGCAGTACGTGTTTTGAAATGGTATGTGCACTTTGTGAGGGGGTGTACTCGTTGAGAGAGAATGTCTGTGCTAAATTCAATAGTCTTTCATTTCTGTTTTGAAAATAATTCAGCCAATAGTCCTGACAAAGGGGGACTTTTGTATCCAATTTTAAATTAATGAACTTGTAAATTCTGACAGATTTTTATATACTGGTTACCCCAAAGCTATTTCAAGACACACTCCTAGATTTGGCAGTTACTTTAACTTTTACTCCCATCACTAGTTACCTTAGAGCGTGAATGCAATATATCATTCTAGGGATGTTTTTCCTATCGTAGACATCTGTCGTCTCTGGATAAAAGATCTGAAAAACAAAGAGCACACAGTTAAACAAGAAGATATATTCCTGAGCAGAAAAGTAGCTAAAATGAGCTCTCTGCAGAACCATACCTTAAACTTAAAGAAATTCAGCAGTTACTTTTATACAGTTATGAATTAAGTCTTTTCTGATGTTATTTTAACTTTATCAGTAGTTTTTATAAGGAATTTAATAAAGCATAAAAGCTACTTAACAAGAGTAGGGAAAAAGGAAGACGAGCAGGCAGCATTTCAGCACGATTTTTAGAAAAGTCCCTTTGGCACAAGCTCAGCTAGTAGGGCTTGTCCTCCTGCAAACACCCAAAACCTGGGATGCAATTACAGTTTGCAGAGCCTCAGTACAAGCCAAACCTATCAAGTATGGTTTAAAAATGCAAGATTCTAATTGCCAGCACCCCTAACTTTGTGAATATGTCATTTACAGAGAAAGATATTCAGAGAGAGGAATATCAAGCAATTTAGCCAAAAAGTCACATTGTAATTTCCAGTTCTGGTTCTGCCACTAATTTGTTCCTGGACTCAGTCCCAGTCACTGAACACTGTTTCTCCACAAAAATAAAATAAAAGACTTAGCTAACCGTGAGAGTTGGCAGCATACTTCCAGCCCAAGCCGAGCACTCAGGGCTGCGCCATCCCATGGCTAATAGGACAAAATTAAGTCAGGAGCACAGTGCCCTCTTCATCATTTACTCACAACAGCTTTGGGAGGAGACTCAGAAAAGCTTTTGGCCATGATCATCCTCCACAACAGAAGCAAAATCTTTCAGAGGAGGGATGGCAGGTTGGAAATCAGCCAGCTGAATGTAGGACTCGAGTGAGACAAAAAAAGCCTGACCTGGGAGAAGCAGGACCCTCCCCATCTCTATGGCATTTCTGGGGGCAGTCATGGGTGTCCTTTTCTGCTTATGGACACCTACAATGAGTTTGCCCACAGTGACTGGCCACCAGTCCCTGTAGCCCTTCAGGCAGCTGTCTGAGCATCCCCACTGTGCCTGACTGCAGTGCCAGGGCTGCCCCCACCCAGGCACCCCGGAGCAGCTGGGCAGCCTGGGCAAGGGAGTACTCGCCCTAGGCTGTGCATGGGTGCTGAAATGTCCAAACAAGAAGAGTAGGTGTTTCCACACAGCTGTTTCTTAAAGAATTTTAATCCAAAAAAGACTCACTGGTGCCCAGAAACTGCAGCAGAGCAGGGAGAAGACAAACGAAGACCCATAAGGAGGAAGATAAATATGAGAGGTGACCCAAGAAAGGAGCTGGAAGAAGAGGAGCAGCAGCATAGCCACACAGATGCCCTGGAGCATGAAAGAACAGTCTGGAAACAGGGTAGAGGCAGAGAAACCAGGACATATATTAAGAGGAAGAGGCAGCAAGAGACACTGTGAGAGGTAGTAACCTAAAGGAAGCAAATATTTAAGTTTTCTGTTCTAAAGCATATTCCTTTCAGGTCCCCACAGAGAATGTACTAGCAATAAGATATAGCTAAAACACTGCTAGCATCCCCATTTTCCTTCCCACAGGAGAAGGACCCTGAGCATTTCCACCCACAGCAGCCTCAGCCCACACACACTGGCAGCAGTAGCACATAACTGACACTCCCACTGCTTTCTTCAGGTTTGTTTCCTGAATTACTCCTTCCCCATAAACTTACAGTGAGCAACCATTTATGTTGAAGCAGATGAAAGGAGATAGCAGTGAGTCAGTGCCTTGAGCCAGTTTCTTTGCTAAAATTTAAAAACTTACCTTAGGCAGACCAATGGACTCCATTGCTCTTAACCACTGCACAGTGTTATCAGTGTGTCGAAAATGAAGGCCAGATCTCTATTGGAAACAGAGAAGGAGAAGATGATAAAAACTACATAAAGCAAATTCTCTAATTACTGATCCTCCTGTTGCTTCCCTATTTTATATCCTGAAGCTGAGTTCAGGGAATTTTCCCTTGTTGGAAACTGGAGACCAAAGTGTCACAGCCCGCTACTGAAGTATCCCAACACATTAACAGTCCCACACTGTCCAGCTCATTCTTTTATGTAACATAAGCCAGATTTGTACCCATCTGGGTGTACTGTGACTGAAGTTGCCATTTGTACAGCCTTTCAGTAGTCTTTGGGAGTCAAGGTTGGCTGTCAAATACCAGGAACCACTACCTCCAAAATACAGAAGTGGTAACACTGCTCAACACTGCTGTTAAGGAGAACAGATAAGGAGTTCTTAGTCACTCTTCAGATCTACCTGAATACCTGACCCTCCCTACAGGCTACACCAGCAGCAGTTAAAAGGGCAAAGTGGGAAAGTTTTGTTTGGTTGTCTTTTTAAAATTTTTAAAGAGTCAGGGTAAAGGGGGAAAAGAAGCCTGAACTCAAATTTTTGAGGTTTTCAGGAAAAACATTTAGATATAATCAGGATTCTTAATCATAGTTCTGTTAATCATGTGGGACCTAGAACAGCTTAATTTCTCAACTCTCAAACAGCAGCCAGTGATCACACCTTAAAAACATATATTTCAAATTTTTTCTGCCCTTCTACCTGTTGAGATAATGCATTACATTGTGGGACTACTGCATACATACATACACACACGTTTCTTAATTATTGAGGATCTTTAAGTTAACAAGCAGCTCACACAGGCAGCAAACAAAGTTTAATTACCGGTAGCTTGGTTTTTTGCTTCTCGGTGTTAAATATGGTAAAATAAACACACATTTCTAATTAAGTTAATGTCCTCCTATACAAGATGAGGAAAAATTTGAATACTTATCAAGTTTAATTATTGATTTGTTTTGGGCTGCTATTCCTAATGAGAAGTAATTGTATAAATGCTCATATTCTCCCTGGAGCCAGAAGTATAATTTGTTCAGTTTTAAAAACATTAAGTGACACTAACGTAGTTTTTCTAGGTAAAACATTTCTAACTTATCATGCTGAATTCTTAGTGCTGTGTCTTCCATCTAGTCCTGACAGTCTTCTGAAAGAGATGCAGAAAGTTAACCGACCATGCTTGGGCACCTTTGAGAGCTGGAAGAGACATTACATTTGCCTGTGATAGAAGTGCAAAAGTTATTACCTTATAGCGTGCCTGCTCCACATCGTAGATCTTTTTGTCTGACACCACATTAGGGGCAAAGAATTTTGCAAGTTTTGCAAGGTAAACACCATTTCTTAAGCCTTCTTCCAGCTCTGTAGTTGGGGGCAGCTCTTCTTCCAAGCAGACCTCCATCCACCTACAGAGACATTATTTGAGAAACATTGTTATTTGTGATTTTAATAGAAGTGACACCTTTAATCCACAACCATCATACTCTTTTAATGTCACCACCACAACATAATCATAACAGAAAAGAGACCATAGGCTAAGGAGAAAATTGTTGTATTGGTTCACAAGGCAGATAAAAGTGAGAATCATACCTGTAATGCATGGTCATGACCCTCCAATAACTAAACAATATGCTTTGAAGTATACAACCCTTAAGGGGTCTAACTCATCTTTTGAACAGCACTAAGTTTTTAAATAGACAGTAATTTAAGCTGAAACCAGAAGAAAACATGGAGTGCTGTGTATTATTGAGGTTTGCATTTAAAAAATTCTGTGATAGCTATGCCAGGGCTGAAGCTCAAGAGCATCAAGGCCAACAATGTGCTGAGCGAGGCAGCAGCTATGCTCTACAACCCAAGCTTGCAGCGGTGCTCATCTCAGCACAGAGCACTCCTGCAGCTTGTCCTCCTCCTGCAACACAGAGCAGTTCTCCACATTCGCCTGTGAAACACACGATGCCAGTGCTGGAGGAAGGAGTGAAGCTTTTTGTGGGAAGAGCCCAAGGTACTTTATGCATTTGAGGTCTGCCTGGCAGTGAGTTGGCTAAAACATTCCTGTCACCCATCCATTGGGATGGCTTCTGATCAAACTGAACCCTTCAGGACAGTAAACAAGTTATGTTTTTGAGACTTAGATGTGATAGATATGGTACTAGATAGAAAACAGTAATTATTAAATACATAACCAGTTCAGAAGGCTAGTAACAGACACAAACCCATATTATCCAGTATGTATACATCGAGTAGCCAAGAGAAACTGCTACTAAAGCACTCATGAAAAAGGTTAGCATCCTAATCGCTGGACCAGAAGTTCCTTACATTGGTGGTCTAAGTGTTTTGGCCCTGTGATATTATTCTTATTTCTAGTAGCTAAATCACATTACAAGAGCTATAAATCTGATTAGGTCTTCCTCTATATATTTTTTTTTTTTTTTTGCTTAGGCAATCTCTGCTGTTGTTAGAAAGATATTAATATGGATAAGAAAAAAGCTGAAGACATTAGTTTGCTTTACTAAGGCAGCATTACTGTATGCTGCGTGAGAGAGCATTACAAATCTAACATCACCTCCACAGCAGTAATTTCAGAAACCACAAAGCTGGGATCCAAATTGAAAACGAGCCAGTTTTTCCCCCACCATGGAGAAGGCAAAAAGCTATCTACATCATTTTGTTTCATGTTAAAACTCAAGATAAATGACCTACTCCATTACACTTTTGGATTTGTTACAGGACATATGAAAGTTATTTCACTGAAGCACAGACTACCCAAATAGCTCTTCAGGAAACCACCAGCCATAAATCTGGAAGAATATCACACAACTGCATGGAGTGAGTCTCATTAGAGCTGTAGTATGCAGCATAAAAGCTGCTTTGCTGAGGAGAATCCTATCCCTGACAAGTTTGCCTGCTCTGTTCTGCACTACACATTCATGTGGTATAGGTCCATGCCAGGTACCCCAAGTCATCTTTATTAAGGACATTTTTATAGACTAAATAGATATACACACTGAGGCAAAATGTCACAACATTTGTCTTCTCCAAACAGAGATCAAGGAAGCATAAATAATGTGTACTCCCAGCAAATGTGGATTTCACCTGAGCCAGTTAGCTCTTTCTGTAGAATTTATTTCCTAAAAGACGTCCTCTAGAAAAGAGTTTTACAGATAGCAGGAGGAGCTTGCTGAGCCACAGCAGTTATTCACCATGAGCTGAAGCTGACCCTGTTGTCCAATGGACTAACTCCAGTGATATGAACTGTATGCCCTTAGAGCAGTGTTTGGTACCTTGACACTGGGTCCTTTACACTTCTAATTCTCAGTTTGCTTATGAAAACATATTTCTGACATATTCAGTCCAGGGAACCAAAAAATATTACATTGGAACTGTCTTTGAAGATACACGTGTCCCTCAAAACTTTCTTCTCCCTTCTGGTACAAACACTTCCTACTTAGATGCAACTTTCTCCTGGTTCAAAATCATCTGGTGCAGGACCTCCCCCTAAAAGCCAGCCAAGCCAAGCTGCTATTTGCCCTTCCATCACAAGCACCTCTTCCTCAGGCTTTTCTTCACCATACAACTAAGGTTCACAAGCAGACAGAGCTCCATGTGTCAGCACTGGCCCAGGTAATATATTTAACAGCCTTATAGCTGAATGACCATTAGCAGAGCATTGCTTCATGCTAAGAAGGAAGGGCTAATAGCAACCTGGGCATGACTCTAGGAGAAAATGGCAGCCTTCAAAGCAGGTCTAGGTTATAATTTATAACCATCCAAATTCCAGTTCTTGTGACACAAAGAGGTTGCTATTCATAACTTGCTGCTGGTTTGGGGAGGCAGAGGAAGGGATGCATTTGATTGAGTTTGCTCTCGTTTTATAAAAGGGTCCATATAAAATTGAGTCATTCCCCAAGCTCTAAATGAGATGCTGATCCAAAGTGTAAGCTTCTCCTTAGCTTTTCAAACCTCCTATTATTCAACAACAGCAAAACTGTTATGGATTTGTTTCCAGCATGGTAATGATCCTTCAGGCTTAATCCGGAACCATCCTGTTCTGGAGAGGGAGGCTACCCTGTGTAGTGGTTAAATGCAATACACTGAGGAACAAACAGGAAATAGTATGAGGAAGCAAAGAAACCAGGGAAAAAAAAGGGGTAATGAAGAATAGTTCTTAATCCCACAAGTCCAGATAAGCATACAAGCAAACAAGTCTCTTATTAGAAGGAGAATGTTAGTAACTCAGTGGAAAGAAGGAAAAAAGTAGAGAGAAGAAAAAGGAATAGACCTGAAAGATGCGGTTTCTTTCCATTTATAGCTAAAAATCTTTAAGTTATATCCATTCTAGAAAAACTCACAGGTCTGCAATAGGGCGACTAACTTATGGCTTTTGGGAATCAGTCTCCAAGACTGAACACAGCTACAGCTATATTACATATAAGATAGTTTTTACCAATGTCTGGAAGTTGCAGAACTTAGCTACAAGAAGATCTACTGCAAAAGGATTTACTTTGTTTTGCACGTGTTTAATCAGAGTAAGGAAAAGCCTCAGGTTTTACATGAAATCCTGCAAATATACAAACAACCTTGTAAGTTTTAGTTATGCAAACAGCTGCCCAACTCTGTTACTCTCTCTCCCTAGTATTTATTGAGACATCTGTTGCACTTTTCTCCCCAGTGTTTGCAGTTACAGTAGTTTTGTTCCCTTTACACAGATTCATTTAAAAGGGGATTGTGGTTTTAAACAGAAAGAAGCATTACTTTAAGGTTGTGAGGTTCTGCTTTTTAAGACAGAGTTTGGTGAGTTTATGAAAGTTATTATATGACATGTTACCAACAGCAGGAGTAGACTGGAATGAAAGAAAAAAACCCAAAACAACCCAACCAGAAATCCTTCTATTTCTGTTTTTTTAAGCAAAGTAGAGAATATCCATCTGACAATAAGGATTTATAGGTACTTTTGGAGAAATTTATTTTTCTTCAGGGTTAAAAAAGCAGCATTGCCTTTGGCTCACCCACTGAGCACACAGTACTGCAACATCAGATTTAAGCCTATTGCAGAAACTGTTCCCCACAAAATTTAGTTAATACTGTGGCTATACAAGAAGAAGGAACCAAAAGTCAATGATAGATGGTATGTTTTTCTTCAGTCTGAAGCTTGTGGAATAAGACTATTATAGCTATCAAATGTGCATATGCATTTCTGACATTTCTTTTTCTAAAATACAATCCCATAACTAATACTGACAGATGTATGCCATAAAAACTGCAAGTGGTGACCATGATGGTCAGCTTGGTCACTCATTATAGCTAAACCCAAACCCCATTCCATGGTGGAGGGACAAAAGGCAACCTCAGGAAGCAGATCAAAACATGCAATGTCCCTGAAGTCCTGGGTAGTACCATCAAAAATTAGCTTTCATTAGAACAGCCCTACAGACCTGCCCATGCCACTTGTAGTCTTATCATTTGCGTTTAAGTGCGCATAAACAGATGCCTTCCTGAAGACAGATACTTGGAATCATACAGCAGTATGCATAAATACAGCCTGCTTTTATTTTCACAATACTGCAGTACTTACCAGCACAGAAACCAAGGATCTGCCTTACATAAAAACCCACACCCAGACCTGATCAATGGAAAAATATCTCCAAAACTTTAATTCCCATACATAGTACTGGAAAGCTTGAATATACCAGGAGTGAATATTGAGGTACAATTTCCTTTTGCTTTGCTCAATTCTGTTTTGACTCTTGGCAATCCAAGGCAAAGCAGTTCAGCATTGAATTTCTGGCAAGATAACAATGATGACTTCTGTGCCAGACCCACGAGCAGTAAACAGCACACTGCTTACCCAGAGATTCCAGTTTCCACATTTGACCATGCAAAACAGTGGCAGTATAATGAGCTCAGGCTTGCAATTTAAAAGCAAAAACCCCCTGAATCTCATTCAAGGCAAGGGTCAAGGGAACTGGAAGCACCAGCACTGCACTGTGAACTTAACCAGTTATGAAGTTGTCATCAACAGTCTGTGTGGTCAACAAAGCACACATGGTTGGCTAAGGGACTGGAAATGCTGGAGCTGATGTTCAGCACAGAAGGGAGAATATGTTGTATAATCCACTCAAAGACCATCACATTTGGCACACACTGAATATTTCAGCAAAATTTATGTTTGTGTTACCCTATCCATTTGGATTTATGCTGCAAGTTGTGGATCCAAAGGCACCAGGTTTTTACCTCCTGGGAAGTAAAACTTTGGAGAAGCAAAGGCAGGACTCAGAGCCAAAGCTCAAACCCTGGATGCCACTAGGAAAAAGGTCTAGTGAAGACAAGGTAAAGATAAGTTACCATCCATTTACTGCCTCCCTGGCTCAAACCCACAGCCTTTCAGTCTGGTTTAGCACATGTATACTGTGGGGAAATGAAACAGACTGTTGACCTAGAGATTACAATGCAGCCATCTCATTCCAAACAAAGGGTGAAAAATATTGTTGCTAGAAAATAAGAGTAACAACAACCAGTCCCAAAGCAAAATATTAGATTCTAACTTGAAATGTCTGTGAAGTGTCGGGATTATTTTGAAGTCAAAACTTATTTGAAAATAAAA